TTCATTCCCCCCTTGTGTTTCTTCCATTGCCGCCTCGAGCCCCCTTCTTCCCTTGTGTTTCATCCATTGCCCCCTCGAGTCCCCTGCATTCCCCCCCTTGTGTTTCATCCATTGACCCCTCGAGCCCCCTTCATTCCCCCCTTGTGTTTCATTCATTATTGCCCCTTGAGCCCCTTCCTTGTGTTTCATCCATTGCCCCCTCGAGCCCCCTTCATTCCCCCCTTGTGTTTCATCCGTTTTCGAAGCTGATCGGGCGTCCTAACGACTGTTTGTTGGAAAAGTGTTGTACCTGGAAGGTTTCTTTCCGCTTGTTCTAGATCTATTTGTCATACTGTCACTGTGGACAGTAGAGTCAGCGACACTCTGGTCGACACGCCTCAAAAAGAGGCGCAACAGTGAGAAACCCAACATCGAATTCATCATCACAGCAAGTCAGTAGACAGCTTTTGGCCTTTGCCATTCAACATAATCTCAGCAAATTTCTGAAGGTGAACATCGATGACAGGACCGGCCTTCCGAGTCGATCCCTTCGGTAACGCCCGACCGCAACGATGCGGCCATGTAGCGTCATGAACGCCCGGAATCATGCTTTGCGAATCCAATCCTAGCACAAGGGTACATGCTTTCCTCATTTGTTTGAGGAGATCCACAAAGGAGTGCTTGGTAGGCTAAATGTTTTGCAAAGCAAACTTCTGCCGATGAAACAGCATGGCCAACTCCACATACCCCACAGAGGAATCTTCCTTCGTTTGCCAGTGAAGTGCGTTGAAAAAATGAACAAATTGCAGCCCATCTTGCTCACCAAAGTGATTGCACAAGACACTAGATGCTACCTCATCATGTCGCGGCTTCCATGGAAAGTCTTGTTCTTGTTGGAAGAATCACCAGACAAGTTTTTTACTTTTTTTAAACCAGGTGCCAGGTATGCCACCCACTGCCACCGAGTGTCATGAGTGGCCATATTCCATTCTGTTTGAGCTACTTTCTTAACTATGTTTTTCGGATGACTCGCTTGTTTCTTCCGGTGAAAATCACACCATATCACACCCATCTCTGTGCAAAAAACAACCTTCTGACCAACCCACAACAATGCTTTCATTCAGGCTGTGCGTTTTCATGTGGTTTGTTTGTTTTCGTGTGTTTTCTCACGTGTTTTCCCTCTGCGAGGAGTGGGCGGAAGTGGACTTCGGCTTCGATTCCCACCGCGGAACAGAGGTCATGTTGATGAAGTGCCACAGCAGAACCGATTGGACGATGTGATGTACGGTGCACCCCCTACGCTACGCGGGTGGTTCATCGGTATCACCCGACCGGTTCCAGAATGGGCATTTGAATCGGGAGACCTCCCACAGAATCTCCAGAACAAGGAAGAATAGCCACTCACCACCGGTTGGGGGTCTCCCACATCAAGAAAACACCGTCAAGACACTCGGGCAATCAGAGAAGTATATATACTTCCAACTCCGCAACCATTTTGGGGTGTGACAAAACCAGAGGAGCTATGAGAAAACTCCGCAACCCGCCCCCAAGGACTGCACTGGTGGGCAAAATATTGCAAAATCCATCCTGTTTGGAACTCTTGCTCCTATAGTAGTAAGGCCAGGAGCCCTAGTAGTGTCCTTGCTCCTAGTGGCGATGCCAGGAGCCCCTAGTAGCGTCCTTGCTCCTAGTAGTAAGGCCAGGTGGTTTCATGTCGATTCTGATCATTCTTGGTTCTGCAGCTGGAACTACGGGGTTGGCTCGCAGGCGCAAGCACAAGTGGCACATAGTGGCCAACTCGAGCACTGTTTTCACTGTTTAGCATAGCCAAATGTTTTGGATACTTTGCGGTTCGACACATGCTTAAAGGATTTGTGAGGTATCCCACTCATTCCAAAATCCAATCAACCTTGATGTCCCAGCCTTCAATCGTCTGTAGCTTCTCACGTTCTTGGCCTTCCAGCGGTTTTGCCTGGCTACGCACGGGGTTGGTAAGAGGCCGGCCGATGAAGGCAGTTGCGAATGTGAGGATGGCCGATGACAAGTTCGAGATGCTTGAGGAGCACCAGGTCGCCGTTCAGAACATGCACGGGACCCCGGTCAAGCTCGGTCGAGACTCGCCGGTTGCGAGGTTGGTCGGTGGAGACCGTCGTAGACCTATGGGTCGATGAGACCTAGCAGGGTCGTTATCTTGAAAGGAGAGCTCTGAGGGCTCTGGTTGAAGGGTTGCAGGGTTGAGCTGCTGTGGGGGGGGTCGGCAAATCCTGGTTGACCATTTTCAATGGAGTTCTTCGGGTACGTAGTTGGTAGGTTGGGAGATGTCGGGAACGATGTGGGTTGATTCTTGAGACAACTCCGGTTCTGCGGGTGATGTTAATTTGGATTATACTGTATGATACTTCACAAGAATGTGGATGCCATCATCACTTTGGGGTCGTGCACGAAGCCATGTGTTGGAAGGAGCAGCCACATGGATTCTAGGTAGAAACTCTAACTTCAAGTCTGCAGTGGAGCAAAATAGTCAGCATCAAGCATTTGTATAATATAGTGTTAATTATGTCCGGTTTTGTCCCATCTACTCCCTTATACTTGCATGCAATACATTCTAAGTTTAACACAGGAGTAACGTTTCACACGCCGGTATTTTTGGGGGATCTCTACATGAACATCCCCCTGGCTTCATGCTGGTGCAAGCTTGTGTTCATTCTCTCCCAGGTTCTCCTCTCGCTTCTTAGCCACCTTCGAAGAGCAGGCTGGATGAAGTGTGAGACAAATCCTGATGATCATGGCGCAGTTTGCAAGATTTTGCCTCATTTGGTCTTCACAAAGAAATGCAACCACACCAAGTCCCGAATCATTGTCCATACCGTTCGTCTTACAAACTAGATGCCGCTTGAGTACCTGCTTGCCATTGATCATCTAGACACGATCTGCCGGTTTAAAGCTTTCACAAGGTCACCTCATGGCAGAAGACCCTCGCGAGCCTTGGCGGCACCAAGGTTCCGGCCACCTAGGCTCTCATGTTTGGTGGTCTTCACTTGGTTTCGCTTTTGTGCAGCCAAACAAGGGCTGACATGCAAAAGTTGATTATCCTGAGCATGTGCTTCCTTTATTATACGTAATATTATGGTATTAATGTGGATATATATATATATATATCTATTGAATTGATTTGCTTGCCAAAGAATTATGGTGAATTATGTAATTAAATTTGGATATATAGACTTTGTGAGGTGGTTGCTAATAGTGATTCTGAAGTCTTGTGCAGACCCTGTGATTTGGAAGAGATATCATTGCAACCGGCGGTTCACTTACTGGACACACTAGCAGGCTGGCGAAGCTGACGCAGCTAGTTATTCAACCATTGGTACAAACCATTGGTACCACAGGACATGGGAGTTTGGATCAACAAGAATCATAGGATTGATTGGAAGATCCCCCAAGTAGACTCGATTTTGCTTCAATGCCAAGACGCGTGGTCCACTTTCTGGGGCAAACCTTCAAGATGCTTCAAGCGACCTTCATTCCCCCCCCCCCAAAAAACCCCCCCCCCCCGGAACCCCTATGGTGTTGTTTCTGTTCCACCTATCCCAACAGCCCCAGGAACATCTCAGAGGTCTCGACCCTGTTGTCAGAGGTGCAGCGCTCCTGGGTGGGGCGCCCCAGACGGGGAGGAAAACGCCGAGGTCGACTCGTCTTCGAGGTCGACTCGAAGAGTTGATTGTGCAGCATTCCCATGGGTTCAGCACACCAAGAGAGGTTATTATAAGTAACCTTATAATGACCATACTGGGGGCACCTATGGGATAATCTATAATTATAGGGGGAGCCCTCAACCTCTCATTGGAAGGAGATGCAAGGAGTGTGGCTCATGCGAATCATGTGGCTCATGGGAGTTTCAGGAGTAATTCTGGAGGACGTCACCCAGTTTAGTAACCGCACAGGAGCGGGATCTGGTCTTAAGCAAAGAACCTTGAAGCGCTGGGAGACCTTCCATTGAGTAGGCGGTTCTGCATGGATCTACCTTGGTGGGCCCTTGAACCAGTCAAAAGATAGCCAGCCGCTGCCAGAAAACGTTTGGGCACTGCAGAAAACGTTCACCTGAACACCCCGTTTCGCCACGTCCAGGTCTTCTTGGAGAATCTCTTCATTTTCAGTGATGAGGTGAAGAAAGAGCTGCCTGAGGACGGCACAGTGACTAACATATAACTAACCTGAAAAGTTAAAAATGAGGCATTACGTTTCTGATCTTTTCTGTATGTCTCAATCGAATGGTGCTCTCCATGCAGTTCCACATATCCAAATCAGACCCACACCCAAATCGGATCGAGGAGCACTGCAGGAGCACCCAGCCCTGTGAGCCTTGTGTAGAGTCGTCTAGAGTCAGACTGAACAGGCATGGAGGCCAAGTGAACATGGAAACAAAAACAACAGTCGCTAGCAGTGTTATTGAATGATTTTGAACAGGCATGGTATGAGATGGTAGGAGGGCCTCTGAAAGAGGTTCTGCCATGTCTTGCACTGAATGAGCCATGTGCTTTTGACTTTCTGCCGATGCTTCCGAGTCGCAGACGCAAATTGGACGCAGCGGCAGTCCAGGCGCAGCCCAGCCGAGATGCAGTTTTTCGCCGCTAGGAGAGCGACAAGTTCGTGGGCATTGACATGGACGTGAAGGAAATCCTGATGAACGGATACCAGATCAAGTCTGCCAAGGAGTTCTGCAACCAAGGCCTGCTGGATCCGAGTTTGAGACCCGGATCTGGAAGCGACACATGGGAGGAGTCAAGCAGGTAGGGGGATCATCCCTGCTGTGGTAGGAAAATCATTGATCTGAGGATATCCACTTTCTCCTCACCTCTTAGGTTCAGACAAGTCACTGGGTCACCATTTTCGCCCCAGAACTTTGTTCAGGTCGTAGTTCTATGGAAGCGTTTCAGGCCACCATGGCTGTTCTAAGAATAATTTGTTGCTGCTTGCTGTTGAACTTGCACAAGTTATTTTTATCAGAACCAACTCAGTGAATAGACATGTGTGGGTTCCGGGTGCACTTTGGTATGCCTGTGTTGCCTGTCACTTGGGTTCCGTTCCTCACAAACTCGGATGATTGGTGGTGATGGTTGGTGATGATAACAAGGAAAGTATCGCGAGCAGCGCTTCGACCACAGCTTTCCTCTCCCTTATTCATTAGCAGTTCAATGCAGTTCATCCAGTTAGGGGCCTACCTGGTTCTGATGTGACAAAGCCGTTTCAGTCAAAACCAGTTACAAAATCTGGAAACACACGCAACACCTAGAACCAGTGTCGAGCTAGCTTCGATAATCTTAGATAGCAGTATTTGTATGTATTTGTGAACAGGCTGTTTCACACCATGAGAACAACCGTCCTCGTTGCTTGAATTCAGCAAGCGCCCGTCCTTACTTCGTCAGTCCTTGTCGCCCGTCTTTGGCGGTCGCTTTCATGGACATTTCATGGGTGAGTCAGCGAGTGTCTTTGCAGGTTCTTGCTGTCAGACCACCGTGCGTGCTTTTCCGCGGAAAAGAAACCGCCACAGGGAACATCTTTCAGAAGTTGGAGAAGGTCCAGGGGGCACTAGAGATGTGTCAGAAGGCTTTGAACGACTTCATGGAGACTTGACTGAGGAGACTTTTGGATGGCCGAGTTCCTGTGTCCGACTTTCTCCGGCTCTTGACCAATGGCAGTTTCAGTTGCAGTTCGCCCGCCTTTAGGTGTTTTCTCCTTCTTCCACCCAATCCCGCAGGAATCCAAATGACTGCGACCACTAGATGTGTTTCAAAGGGGAGAGCGTCAACAGTGAAATTGTGGTGCACAGGCAATAGCGAATACAAAACCACAAAGCTGCCATCCATGAGCACATGCAGAACGGGGTGACCTGCATTCAGGGTACTAACTGTAATCGAAACTGTATTCGCGACCTTTTTGAGAGGATTTTAGCCTTTAGAACTTCAAATATTCAATATCGACCGATGCTTGGTTCGGGACCTCATGGATGTCATGTCCATCTAAACACCGGAGGATTTGGAGAGTGCCATGGGATTTGGAGAGTTTCCAAGAAATCGTTGTCCCCCTTACAGGGTGGCCCAGTTGGATGGCCCAGTAGGCCATTTGTCTCGCTGCTGTGCAGGTTCAGTCCTTTGGACTCCTTTGGTCCATGACAAAACATGATAAAAAAAACTAGCTACTGTAAACTGTAATAGCATTTGATAGCCTAAGCGACCCCAGACATGTCTTGATGGCTCAGGACAGCAAGAAGCGGGCTTTCCCTCGTTTCTATTTCATGTCCTCCAATGACTTGCTTGACGTGCTGAGTAATGGCCGCTCGCTGTTTTGATTTTCCAGGTGGGTTTTCGTGGATTCAGGTGAGGCTTAATTGTCGGCAGGTTCTTTCAGAATTGGATTGGGCTTTTTCCCAACAAATCTGGCAACTCGTGGCTGATAGCGTAGCAAGAGAACCGTGGGCACACCACGGCACCGCCGTGGGCACACCACGGCACGTTCATGTTGGGCCTATCCCAATGTGGAATTGGATCATTGCACAATCTGGTTCCAAGGAGATACCAGATCGGTGAGGCATGAGTCTGACGTCCATACTTTGGAACAGGTCAAGATCTCTCGTTCGATGGACCTCGAACTGCCCTTGACCTTCCTTCGTTAGATGGGCATCGACAGAAAAACGGACATCAACCACACACGAACCACGGGTGACCTGACCTTCAAGGTGTGATGCTTTGTGATGAAGCTGTGCATAGCCATGGGGATCTCCTTTCTTCGTGCAAGCCATGTGTATGTTTATTTGCCCATCCATCATGTTCAATGCAACAGGCTCGACTGGTAATTGAAACACCTTCGGGGCAATCCGGCTGATTCTATCTTTCCTTGCTATTGCTAGCTTGGTACGGCTCCAAAGTAGATACCCACCAAGAAGAAAAACAGATCCACTGTTCAAGGGGTCAGTTTTTATCCTTCTCAGGACCTTGGATCAAATCCTAAAGACATTTTCTCTAATTAATGCAACTCCCATATACATATATTTATTTATTTACGCCACCACTTGGGGAATTGATAAGTTGACAAGTTCGAACATCACTGGCAACATTTTGAAAATCATGGATGTTCCTACACTTACTCTTTTTCCCGAAAGCATTGCGAAGGGTTCTTCCGGAAAATCCTTTGAACACTTACACTTCGACACTTGCACTTACACACACACACACACTGGAAGAGCGAAAGCATCCAAGTGCGAAGTATGCCAGTGTCAAAGTATGCAAGTGTAAGTATGCAAGCATGATATGCAAGGGTGAGTATGCAAGCACGCAATGAGTATACAAGCATGCAATGAGTAGGCAAGTGTGAGTATGGAAAACTAGCACGGGAGATGTCCTAATGAAAAAACATTTCCCCACTTTATAAATTCTCTCTTAAAGGCGGAGTGCGGGACGAACAGCGTCAACCGAAAGTGCAACCCTCTGCGGAGATCGTGCGTGTCGAGTGCGCGAAATGCAGGCGAGAGTGCGATTTGTCCGGTGCGCGCGCAACCCTCTGCGGAGATCGTGCGCGTCGAGCGCGCGAAATGCAGGCGAGAGCGCCGCGCGCCGGCTGCGCGCGCAACCCTCTGCGGAGATCGTGCGCGTCGAGTGCGCGAAATGCAGGCGAGAGCGCCGCGCGCCGGGTGCGCGCGCAACCCTCTGCGGAGATCGGGCGTGTCGAATGCGCGAAATGCAGGCGAGAGTGCGATTCGCCGGCTGCGCGCGCAACCCTCTGCGGAGATCGTGCGTGTCGAGTGCGCGAAATGCAGGCGAGAGTGCGATTCGCCGGGTGTGCGCGCAACCCTCTGCGGAGATCGTGCGTGTCGAGTGCGCGAAATGCAGGCGAGAGTGCGATTTGCCGGGTGCCCGCGCAACCCTCTGCGGAGATCGTGCGTGTCGAGTGCGCGAAATGCAGGCGAGAGTGCGATTTGGCGGGTGCCCGCGCAACCCTCTGCGGAGATCGTGCGTGTCGAGCGCGCGAAAGCAATCTGTGGAGCTGGAAGCTGAGAACTGGCGACTTTGTGGTACAACTTTAGTACGCAGAGTAGCTGGGGAGCTGGAAGCTGAGAACTGGCGACTTTCTAGTACA